TTTTTCTTTTTATTTCCTTTCTTCCTTTCCCTTTTGGGTGCCAGTGACATGCAACAGAAATGTTTCACAGATGCCATCTCAGTGACTTTCTTTGTGCGCAAATGGGGCACTTTGGTTTTAAAATGATGATCCAGTACTATTCAGTGTACTTAAAAAATGCAGTAGTTGAAATATTTCAAAATTCTCTTGTTCCATTGCTTGACAGAYTTAATCTGTCTTTTCTGTACCAAATTCTTTGTCAAATTACTCTCTCCTTTATACATCTAGTACCTCATTATATTTTTGGACAGATATGATCCTAACACTTATGATTTTTTGAAGAGGTATGTACAGTGTTTTCTTCACAGCTACTCAGTCTAGACATTTTTATCATTAATATATTCTATCTTACAAACAGTTTTTGTTCAGGCAAAGTGAATGTGTGTCATATTACTCAGTTATAAACAGATAAAAATGTTGTCTCCCTCCCTTATAGTGCTATGCAATAAATTCCACAACTGAACACAATCAAACTCTGAATTATTGGTTCCTAGTTCAACACAGTTTTCATTCTGTCATTTTCCCTATTCAGCATGTGAGCATGTTTTCTACAATATCTTTGCATTAGTACTTCCTTTTCAAGGAAAATTGCTGCAATACAATGGGAAAGCACAGCTAAGAAAATAATCAGAGCTCTGCATCGAGGCTGATGGAGGCTCTTGAGTATAGCGAAGAGAGAAGTGGAAAGACTGACAATGGAACAAGAATTGCTTTGAGTAAAGATACCAAGATGGTGTGATGTGTGTCTTAACCCTAGTATAAAAGGGTTGTATGAGCATAATGAGTATCTTGGAGAACAGAAAAACCATACAAACMCCCCAAATAATAGCAACATAGAAGATTTTCTTTTCCTCTCTTCTTACATGAAGCTGTTAAACATACCAGAACATGAATGAGTCTGTCAAGGCAAAGTCGTTCTAACCAGTTTAACATCATTATTTAAAACACTTAAAGGCTTTGTTTTCACTTTATTTAGTTGAATATTTTTATCAGTCACCTAGAAGACTTTAGTATTAAACTGTCATTACAGAAGCATTAATGGAGACATGCAGGTTCTTAAGTACCTGTATTTCAGTATTAGTAGAGTTGGATGCATTAAGAGCTAGTGCCACAAAGCATCACGTAGCAGATAAGTTTATAYCAGTATATTCTTAAATGCTTAACTTTTTCTTTCTCTGTGTCATAAAAGGTAGTCATAAAGTCACACTTATAMTCCAGCTTTCTTTTGTTACCTTTCAAAGTATGTTAATATATACATGCATCATGGGTTTTGAGGCTGGGGAGTTTTTGGTGGTTCGATTTAGTGCATTTTTTTCTCATTCAATGACTATTTTTGTCTTTCAGACTTGAATCTCCTACTAGATCTTTGGTGATGGAAGCACCCAGGGGAGTGCAAGTCAATGCAGCTGCAGGAGACTTAAAGGCCACCTGTAGGAAAGAACTGCACTTACAGTCCACAGAAGGSGAGGTAAGTTCAGCCAGCTGAGAAATGTTCTACAGCTCTGCCCAGCATAAGACAGTGTGAGGAGGGATTATTCAGCAGCAAGGTACACATCACAAAAATGTTCTGCAGTTGCCTTTGTTAAAGTAATTTTGGTTTAGCCTATTCAATTATCAATACTTATTCCTTTTTTATAAATATTTGAATCCATAAGTTTCATTCAAAGTGAAAATAAACTTAGTTAAATTAATACAGATCAGAATTACTTTTAAATTAAGAGTCAAGGAAAAAGCTTTTTTGGAACAGAGTCAGCTAAGTGATACTGGTAAAAAATAATTTGGATTAATCTGGCAAATAAAGCAGAGAAGTTTGGATTAATTTGGGTTAATGCATCATGAAACCATGATTAAGAGATTTAACAATTTGCTTTACCTGTGGTTTATCTCCTTAGACTTTTACTGTCTCTGTAAGAGAGACAGCGTAGTTCAATTGTGTATTCACTGTTTTATTAGTGTCTTGCTTCAGAGATTGGTGATCAATGGTTGACATAAGATTTTGGTGTAGATTCTTCACATGTAAACCTGTGTGAACTCAAGAAAATAATTCAAAATTGGGATACTTGTTAAGATGGTGATGTATTATTGCAGAAATGCATGAAAGATTACTGGTATGGGAGTCCCTTCATCTTCAGACAGTAAAATAATATAACATTAAAAAAAAAAAAAAAAAAAAAAAACAAAAAAAACTTGTAGAAGGCCATCAAGAGCTCTTATATTTCTGTTAGGAACTTTGGAGAAATTGGTAGATTTTCAAATTGTTATCACAGGGACTTGCAACATTACAACATTATTGGAAATCCGTAATGTAAATATCTCTTTGTAAGTGGAGCTCTTTCAAAATGTTTTGCCTTTTGTATAGTATTTTGTATTTTCTACAAATGTGTCCAGATATTTTACATACTATCTAAAGTAAGCTAAAACATACAAAACCAGCATTCACATTTGTGCCAGATAGTCCCCTGCAATGCACACTCTGCATTACAAGGCAGACAGGAACATTTTAGACAATATATTGYATCAAAAATTTGATAAAATTTTTCTATTGATGGAAGTATCTGTCCAGCATAATTAAAGCACTATGTTTTCCTAACCCAGAGTCTCAAATAGTTATATACCACATAACCCACCTTATTTCTCTGGAGGTTGGCTCTTCTCCTGGTCTCTCATCCTTACTTACCACCTCTGTTACTAATTCCTAACATTGCTGAGATGGAAATAAAAAATGTAATCCACTTTTTGTAGTAAATATTGTTCTCCTTCACTATTGTTCTTTCTGGGGGTATTTTTGAGTCTAGAGCTTCCTGTAACCTGGCTTGTTTTCCCTTCATAAAGCCCTACCTGGCCAAATCTAGTATGTTTCCTACATTTGTTAACATAAATTTTACAAATAGAATGTATTTCTTTGTTCTTTCCCTCCCTGCCAGAGGAAAAAGTAAAACTTAAATTACAATTAAAGTTTATAAACAAAGAAGCCAACAGAAAGATTGGTTTTTTTCATCAGCTTTCCATGATTCTTTAGGCAATCTTATCTATATTCTTTAAAAAATAAGTATCTATATTCTCTTTGTTTTGTATCATTCACCTCTGTAGGCTTTGTACAAATATTTTATGTGTGGATCCATCAGGGTTTTTTCTCTATATCAACATTATGAGCTCATTGCATGACTTGTTCTTTTTCTAAAGTATTTACTATACCTTATTGGAAAGGCAGTTTTGGAAATAATRCCCCATGACCGTGGTTGGACTTTGACAATGGGAACCCAAGAAAAGACACAATGCCTATATTATGTATAATTCAGAACTGGAATTCAATTCAGTATTAAATGTTTCATAGGAACAAAATGTCAGTGCAAAGATGACTTTTCAGAACTTCTTGTTAAAAATCAGTATTTTCTCTATGTGTTAAGACTTTACACATCTACRATTTCCTTCATAGAGGTTAGATTGATAATCATCAGAAAACAAATGACCAACCTTTCCCTTCTAGTGACCTGTTCTCTAAATGTATATTAGGAGTTCAAAGTCTTGAATACTTGCAATTTCACTAATATCTGAAATGAACTGGAGCCTAAATCCACRGAGAAATTCTGTCTTGAGGTTTGACCAATGCCTTTACAGTCCACTGTTTAATATCTTACATTGGAGGGGGATGAAGAAAATGCGGAAACACTTTGGAAGGCATATGATAGGCTCCACAGCATTAGCTGTTGTGCARAGTTACCTTTGGCCACATTAGGGAATTGGTGGAGTAAATAAAGCCTGGTGTGAGAAACCAGGGTAACATCTGATGGATTAAATATCTACACAACAAAATATTGATTGGTTTCCTTGCTTGCAGCCCAATAGATAAACCACAGATTAGCAGACAGTATGAAAAAAAATCTTTAAAGGGTTTATCATTATTCATTTTTAAGAAAACACATTCTAAGGTGACAAAGTACCTGTATTTAAAATAATCTTCATTTTAGTCTAAGCATTATATGCCTGATCAGTCAGGTTTCTTCCAAAAATATATCAGTGTTGTCTTTGTAAATTGGATCTGTGAACCATTTTTGTGATAATACAAGTTGTACTAGAAAGAAATTCAAGGGCTTTTTTATTTTTCGTATGATGGTTAAACAAATTTAATTTTTAATGTTTCCAAGCTTTTTCAAAAACTTATCAAAGACATGTGAATTAATATTTTCTTTCTATAGCAAAATTATTGCCCTATTATGACAGAAAATAGCTACTTGGAGCCTGGAATCAGCTAATYAGAGACATGTTACAGACCATTATGCATTTACTGATTATGAAATGTAGATTCTCCTTTTATTTAAGAACAGATCAGAATATTTTTCAGAACATAATTTTTTTTAATGAAATACTTTTCCTCTAGCTTTATTTCTATGCAGTATAATCTTTAGCCTCCCACATCACAAAATGAATGCCCCTGCAAGCATCCTGATTCTGCTGTTTGCTACATTTTCTTTTTATTTACTGCAGTTTTATAATAATCCTTTTAGCCGTATTATGCATTATAATGTGTGATCCCAGACTGAATACTGGGGGCTGTAATTTAGATTGAGATTTTGCTGCCCTTTCTAAAGCTCTTGAGCTGCGCCCTTGTGAGTCAAGACATCAGCAGAATCCTTTGATTCAATTATAACTTGGCATTTAATTGTGAACTATGTATTATTCTATAAATAAACCATAACCAATGGTTTAAAGCAGCAATCATTTGCAAGGAACGTCAAATGTGAAACTCCAGGTTTAGCTGAATCTACTGGTTCACATAAGAAGAAAAACAACACTTCTTGGCTGGAAATTCAGCGCAATGACCGCTAGCTYACTGCTGCTTCTTTCACATAAAAGTATAATGTAATAGAACAGATTTTTGAATTCTATATATACTTGATTTTACTAGACATAAAAAYGTTAGAATTGAACCTGAAACATTATTGTAAACAGATAGCAAGCTGAAAGGACTATTTGATGGTGTCCACTCATTGGCCTAACAACTAATTATAATAGTTTTGACCATACAAAATCACAGAATAGGTCAGGTTGGAAGGGAATCACAGTGGGACATCTGGTCCCACTTCTCTGCTCAGGAAGGGTCATCCCACAGCACACAGCAGGATTGTGTCCAGACAGTTCCTGAATATCTCCACTGAGGGAGACTCCACTTTTCTGGGCAATCTGCTCCAGTTCTCAGTCACCCACACAGTAAAGAAGATCTTTCTCTCCAGGTGGAACTTCCTGTACATCAGTTTCTGCCCACTGCCTCTTGTGCTGTTGCTTGGAACCACCAAGAGCCTGGATCCATCCTCTGATACTCCTGTTCAGACACTGATACACAYTGATGAGGTCCCTTCTCAGTTGTCTCCTTTTCAGGCTGAACTGGCCCAGCTCCCTCAGCTTTTCCTCRTAAGAGCGATGCTCCAGTCCCTTTATCATCTTTGTTACCCTCCACTGGACCYGCTCCARGAGCTCCATATCCCTCTTGTCCTGAGGAGCCCAGAACTGGACACAGCACTCCAGATGTGCCTCACCARGGCTGAGCAGAGGGGCAGGATCACCTCCCTCAACGAGCTGGCAATGCCCTTCCCAATGAACTCCAGGATCCCACTGGCATTCTTGACCTCGAGGGCACTGCTGGCTCATGGACAGCTTGTTGTTCACCAGGACCCCCAGGTGTTTCYCTGCAGAGCTGCTTTCCAGCAGGTCACCCCCAGCCTTTGGGTTATTCCTCCCCAGGTGCAGGACSCTGCAATTGCCTTTGTTGAATTTCAGAAGGTTCCTCTCTGCCAATCCCTCCAGCTTGTCGGGGCCCTTCTGAAGCCCCCTTCTGCACAGCCCTGGGGGGTAGTGGCTGCATCTCTCTCTGAAGCAGAAGGCTCAGCTCTTAGGAATCTTGAGCAGCTGCTATGTGTCTTTGCAAGGAACTTCTTTGGGAGTTAGGCTCTGCTCTTTCATTGCAACTCTTTGACTGTCAAAGATGAAGTAAATAAAAGGAGAATGATGTACAGAAGCTTTTCATTTTTACAAATGCATTCATATTAATCATCCTCTCTATGACCTTTTCCTTACTTCTTTATGTCTTTCTATTTCCCTGTCAAATTACACTCTGTCAGAGCATCATTTGTRGAGTTTATTTTGTTGTTTCTGGCATAATGAGGCTGATCCCTCGTTATGGTAAGGTTTATAGTTGTCACATTAAAAATGAACAGTATTCTTCAGCAGACAAAGTTTACTCAAAATCAACGTGGCAGACAAGAGGCCAAGTTCATMTTTACCATTTTAGCACAGCTCTTTTAATGAAACACACAGACAATATTATTTTGTRGAGTCTAATAAATGCAAACAGTACTGACATTTGATCTATAATCCTATCCAGTTGTAAATCCAGGAGATGCACTTAACACAGATTATTAATTAAGGATTGTTAATGTTTAATAAAACTTCAATAATCTTCACTTGTAAGCT